ACCCGCACGCGGACTGCTTTCGAAATCTTTCAATTGGTTGGCTCGGGGCTAGGAGCAAGGACGCTACTAGGGGCTCCTGGCATCACTACTCTACTAGGAACAAGAAGCACCAGAACTGCCGTGGAGGTGATCTGGTGAACTCCAGTGGGGCCTAGCTCTTGCGCCGCTCTGCGCGAAACACCAGCAGAGCTCCACCCCGCCTTGACTCCAAGAAAGTCGCCCCAGCAGCGCGAAATCCAAAAACGGATGTGTCTGTTGTTGCAGTGCCCCTCATGTTGGTGGTTCCACATTCTTGCCTCTAACATTCCATCTTCTGGGGAGGGCCTAGCTTGATGGTTTGTTCAACAAAATGGTTGGAGGAGTTCAGTCTCGACTTGGGGACATGTGTTGAACGCAGCTATCCTCACAAGCTGCGGTAAGCAGGGCGCGATGTTCCAAGCTGCATTGGGGCACGATCAAGAATACACCGATTCGAGGCAAACATGTGGTTTAGCTACTACTAGCAAGGTGCCTTACTAGTAGTAACAAGCTACTAGTAGTAAGGCACCGTGCTACTAGTAGCTTCTTGTTACTAGAGGGGCATCGGACCGAATCTGAGCTAGGGGCTATGGGATGCTAGTCAGTGTTTCCTTGCAGAAATTCCTGAAAGACTTACCTTTCGATGGAACCCGCTCCCCAGATGCTCTGATACCCCCACCGCGTGCAACGATGCAGAGGCTCTTAGAGGAACTTTGGAACACATTCCATCTGAGCTAAGGGTGGAAAGTGGGCCAATCGAAAGCGACGATGTCGCAAAAGCGGACGGACTGTGCATTGTTTATGAAAGTTGTTTTTTTTTCATCAGCATGGAATAGTCTAAACGAGTTGTTACTCAAACATGTGAATCCCTGATCAATCAGTGGGCCGGCAGTTGCGCATGTGAACTTTTCATTGCCTCTCGACAAGAAGGAAAACGAAGGAACAAGAAGAAGAAGAAGGAGGAGGAGGAGGAGGAGGAGCAGGAGCAGGAGCAGAAGGAAGAAGTAGGAGAAGAATACAACAGTTTAAGCAGGAGAAGAAAACACTGATGCCGTCCAGGTTTAAGCAAGCTACGCAAAATCCATAGGACAACATCTCTTTCCACAAACAGTGATTGTTTTTATCATTAGGATCTTCACATATATACCTGTAACTGGAACGGGCTCACGCCGCCACGCCATTAGGCTGACTCAGAGAATATTCACATACCGTTTCAATATGTTGGTTCTGACCCACCAGCGGTCCCTGAAAGACTCCATGGTTGAGATGAATTCGATTGAGACTTCTCTTAGGAATGCCATCCAGCACATTCCATGTCCCAAAAAGAAACAGTTGGGGAGTGAATCTGCCCCCAATCCACCAAAAGACCCGACACGGAAAGCGATCGAAAACGTTTCACCTGTTTCTGCGGAGAACCAATCCGTCTTTCCACCACTGGCCCGACCGGATGGTGCACCGCGTGGCTGAGATCCAGTGCACCAACAGGAAGGGGATCCCCGTGACCAGCGCCACCGGCGTGATGCGCTGGCGGGCAACCGGTGGGGTGGCGCACCGCGGTGCGGTGTGTGGTAGCGTTCTTGCTCCTAGTAGCTTCTTGCTCCTAGTAGTACGGCCAGGAGCCCCTAGTAGCGGCATTGCTCCTAGTAGCGATGCCCTTTGCTCCTAGTAGCGTTCTTGCTCCTATATAATAGTAAGGCCAGGAAGGCAGGAGCGCCCCTAGTAGCGTCCTTGCTCCGTTCGTAGCGATGCCCTGTGTTCCTAGTAGCTTCTTGTTACTAGTAGCGATGGCCTCCAACCTATGTGCGATGGCCTCCACCTAATAGATCTAATAGCGTCCTTGTTACTAAGGCACCGGTGAACGCGTGGTGTGGAAGCACCAAAAACGATTTCCAGATGGTTGAATTGCCAAGTTCTGCGAGGTGTCACTAGGGTGCTCCGCAGGGTGTTTCACTTTGAGATTGGGCTTCGCTCAGTTCGGTTCCATTCGCCAGAAGGGGAACAAGAGTGCGTGTGAGTAGCTGCAGCCCTTAAGAGCCAAGTGCTCCAGCGCATATCCCCATACCTTGTAGCTATCCAGCTTGGGCGGTGTGTGGGCAGGAACACGATTTGCACAAAAAAGAATCCAAAAAGCGGATTCTTCGGTAGAAAATGCAGTTGCATTGACCGGTTCACCTGACAAAGACAGCTAGATTCGTGATGTTCAAAAAAATAGAAGCTTCTTGTTTCTACTAGCTTCTTGTTACTACTAGTAAGGCACTTGTTACTACTAGCGATGCACTTGTTTCTACTAGCTTCTTGTTCCTAGTAGTAAGGCCAGAAGCCCCATTGTTCGTATCGTCGTCCTTGCTCCGTTTCCTTAGCGATGCCGCATCTGTTATTCTCCTCGTAGCATGCCAGATCGTCCTAGGAAAATAATCTTCGGTGGAACATCCATGCCAAATCCTCCAGTCGTTGCAGCCAGTTGCTTGCTCCCTTCCAAACGGACGAAAGAGAACGTCGTCTACCCTTGACATCATCCCTTCCCCAAATCTCATGGGCTCCACCTCAGCTGCCCCAAAGTCCGGCAGGCTCTGGGCGTCGGCGGCACGGTCGGCGGCAGCTGCGTCCGCCTGTGGAGAATGGATAGTAGCGATGGCCTCCAACCTAGTAGCTTCTTGTTACTAGTAGTAAGGCCAGGAGCGCCCCTAGTGGCGTCCTTGCTCCTAGTAGCGATGCCCTTTGTTCCTAGTAGCTTCTTGTTACTAGTAACCATGGCCTGCTGGAATGATTTTGAAAGCACATTGCAAAAGTATGCCTGTAAGTGAAGTACTATGGATATCTACTTTGAAGTTAGCAGAGATCAATATCATGGCATTCAACTAATTACTTGTGGTTGTGGGTTTGTGCATACCAGGAGGTACAGTATCTGATCGCTGGATGGCGGCCCCAGAGGCTCATCTAAAACTCATCTGAGTGCGGCTCAAAAAGAATCTCCACCCTGCTGGGCCTGTTAAGCGGAAATCTCGTTCCAACGCTTTTGTTCGTTCTCCTCACTGGTAGATTCCTTAAATAGGAATGGCCTCCACCCCAAGAGCGTTCTCCTCACCAGTCGACTCCTAAGCTTTCCCTTGTCGCGTCGCCACTTCTCCACTCTGTCCTTGGGCCGCGGATCATCCATATCCAGCACCACCTCAAACAGGCAGCACAATAAGCTACTAGGAACAAGTGCATCGCTTCTAGTAACAAGTGCCTTGCTAGTAGTAACAAAACGCACCACCTCAAACAGGTCCAAACCGAAACGACACACGCCGGACCGACCTCGTTTCACGGCTCCCAGCCAACTTCACCGCAGTCCGATCCAAAAGACGCCAACATAGAGTCTATACTCCAGGAAGTGTCCAACACCCTACGGTAGTTCAGTGATTTTTTGCAACAATCGCCTGTCGGTGTTCGCTTTCAGCTGGCGCTACCGGTCTTTTCGTGCGCCGAAGCGGCGCTTTCGTGCTCCCAACCGCCTCCGGTGAGTGCAACTGCCTGGACCATGCGCGTTTCACCTGGCGTGTCGGCTGGAGACACCTCTGGACCTGTGCTGGTGATGATGTGCAGGTGCCGGTGAGTAGGTCTGGGTGTTCTTTTGTGTGCAGGAATCCTTCATGGTCCCACTTTCCAGGACGAAGTTTAGACACTTACTATCCTGGATATCATACTCCATATCACAGCGATATAAGGGCTACAAGTGTTTCGAAAAAATCACCCAGTTGTTTGGGTTCACAATCTTAACCACCAGCGGCTCACGCTAAATACCTCAGAAACCAACACTAGAACCCCCAACAACTCACCACGCTTACGCAGCGAAACGCACTGCCCCGCGGAGCCTGGATGAGTTGGCAACATCCCAGGAATAGGAAGGAGACAAAGAAGAACAGAAATTTCTGCCTGAGCGATCGGCAGACGTCTAGGAACATGATTGGTTGACAAGATGTTTTGATCATCGATCGGGCATCAATGCGCTTCAGCCTTTCCAGAAATCGTCGGAAGATTCCAGTTTCAATTCTTCTCCTCATGGCGCCACCCATCGGCTGAGACTTTGCACGTTGCATGGGGATTTGGACGGACGCAGCTAGTAGAAATCACGCGGTCTCTAAACTCGTTTCAGTAGCCAGGGTCTGCGAGGGGGTGCGAGAGGCGATTTTGCCTTTCTTCAACTGTGTCTATGTATATATATATATATATATCTGTGTGTGTGTGGTTGTGAAGGAGGTGTTACATTTCTTCACGGGTGACGGAGTATAGTCAGGTTGTGAGGTCCATCACCACCCGCTGCGATGCAAAAACATTCATCATCATTCATCATTCTTGTGCCAGTGTCCTTGTCAGAGAATGGCTCAGCACGTTCGAATCAGCGACGTGTGCTGCGGAAAAGAACCCTCCAATGTGGCACGCAGCATTCGATATCGGCACGGCGCTTCACAAGTCCACGCTTAAAATCCGGCGCTTCTTCACACCACATGGCGTGGGATTTGGCACACACAGGACTGGCAAGACGGAGCGCCGCGCACACGAAAACTCTTTCAGCATGCGTTCTAGACGCCCATCCTTTTTATTTGTTGGTATTTGGGCGGCGCGTGTCCAGGCATGAGCGAGATTTGCAAACTAGGCTGTTGCTATCTATCTTGTTTGTAGCCTGTGCAAAAGCTTGCTTGGAAACCTTTCTTTGCAAGTCACGCAATGTTGAATTTACATGAGTCGGGCTACCTAAGCTTTAGCTATAGCTTCTATATATTGGAGACCGTTGCTGTCTTGAGCCCGAAGCTATAAATTGTAAGTTAGGTGAGCAGTTAGTTAACCAGGCTATCTGGGTAGTTAGCGCATTGTGTGAATGTAGCTTCCAACCCCAAAATGGCCAGGCACGAAAGCGCGGAAAGAGATAGAGGAGGGGATTGAAAAGATGGTGGAGGAGTGGAAGTCCCAGAGTGAACGTGTGTTTATGTAGCGGGTGCTATCTACATTTTATTGCCAAGCAGGCGGCATGGATCAAGGGATATATGGATGAACTTCAGTATCCCTGGCCCTAAAACACATGCAAATCGTAGAGGTTCGGCAAATCAACGTCTTTCAAACCCAGAGATGATACACACAACGAGGCTCAAAAGAGAATCAGACTGGGAGTGACAGGGTGCAAAAGGCTGTTTTCTTTGAGCCAAGCCAAAAACTGACCATTGTTGCCATAGGGAGTGTTGCTGGGAGCAAATGCTGCAACATGAGCCCTTTTCAGACCTGCCAGCGAAGTTGAGGGTGTGCCTGGCCAGCTTTGCCTGGCCACCAAACACACGAGCTAGGACGAAGCAAGGGGGAGCTGTACATGTTGGATGAGCATCTCGCACGTGCTCGCGGCGCTTTCTGCCCAACCAGAGCAAAACGCCGAGCACACTAGGCAGCAGTGCTGGCGGGGGAAGGGGGGGCGCTCTATTCTGTGGAGCTTGGGAGACAGCTTTCGTCATTTTTGGGTAACTCTTTTTCTAATAGCTTCTTGTTACTACTAGTAAGGCACCTGTTACTACTA